TTTAAAGTTTTGGATTGATTTTAAGGGTTTTTATTTGTTAGGGTTTCAAAAGTTTTGGATTTATTTTAGGAGTTTTTATTTGTCACTCTAGTTTGGGTCTATATTTCGATTCGTATTTTCCTCATATTTCATTTGATTTTCGTTTTCGTCCTTGGTAGTTGAGAAATGAGAGAATTGATAAGGAAGGGTGCCTTTTTTTACCACATAAAAATTGATGCCCTTGGTAGAGGTAAGCAAATAGTTAAACGAGTTCTATTTTGCACTAGTTCGGTTCGGTTTTCAATTAATCCAATTAGGAGAAACGATGAATCGAAATCAAACCAAAATAATTTTGGTGTTTCGATGAAAAAAACAAAATTTTCACTTTTTGTTTTGATTGATTCGGTTTAAATTGATTTTTTATTTTTTATTTTTGTAAATTATGATTGGGCTTTGGCCCTTTGGGCCTTTGATCGGAGGCTTTCATTTTTTTTAGCAATAGGACCTTTTAAAGGCCAAAAACCATGAGAGATTGATCTTGCTTATTTGTGGTTATAGTAAGCTTCTTCAACTTCTTAGTTATTAAAACTCCAAGCAATCTGGTAGATTAAAGGGTTAAAAATATAAAATTAATTGCACGAAGGTGCGGCAAGTCTAAACTGTTGAGGCATTCTATTGTATTGTCTATTGTGATGTTGATGCATATGTCGAAATTAGTGTTAAGGTCCTAGAGGGTCTCTAAGCTTTAGCTATATGTTGAAGCTATACTCGTAAATGATTTAGTTATAGTTTTTGGTATTATAATTGAATCTACTATATTGAAAACGAGTTTTCCACCCTAATCGTGCTGACTTTATTGTTGTTGGCTTCTAGTCAAGTTACCATTGATGCTCATCAAGTTTGAAATATTTTTTAGATTGAAATAAGAATAAGAAGAAAAAGGTATTTAGGTTGGGACCTTATTTATGGTTATAGTTTGACGGTTTCACTTTCACATTTTGCTTAATAAAAGACTAGATCAAAGTTTCATGAAATATCATCAAAATATTAAAAATATCCTAATTAAAATACAATCATTAACTCAAATAAAAAAAATCATCAAAATATTAAAAAAACATCTTGATTAAAATACAATCTATTAAATCAAATAAAAAAATCATCAAAATATTAAAAGCATCCTAATTAAAATACAATCGATTAACTCAAAAAAAAAAGTCCTCAAAATATTAAAAATATAATCAAAATACAATTCATTTGGTTTACATAATTAAATAGATTTCATTTACTTCTAAGTCTTAGAGTGACATTCCCTAATAAAAAAAATACCACTTAACTTAAATAATCCATCAAAATATTTTTAAAATTATCATATTAAGCAAATAAAAATTAGAAACTTACGCATATCATCCAAAAAGCCAAAACACCATAATCCATCAAATATCTATCTTTGTGGAAACAATTGTTAAATCTAAAAAATATAAGATAAAAAAATCAATATTTTAACATTATTATAGAGGAAGTAAATAACAAATGAAAAGAGAAGTCATAAAAATTATTGGCTTCAATTTTCTCAACTTCTTACAAATTTTCTTCGACAATAATTGGTGTCAATGAATTTTTAAGCCAAACTTTAGCACGTATGAGAGATTGCACTATGTTAGGAGTTAAAAAATTCCTAAAGTCCTCAAGAACTCTTCCTTCGAGTGTTAAATGTCAATTCTAAGGGAACAGTAGAAATAGGAACCACCAATACATCATGAACCATCCGTGAAAGGATAGAAAATCAAGGAGAATTGTTTTTTCGCCACTCTAAAATATCAAAATCAGCATTATTATTTTCAACATCTTCACCAAGATACATATCCAACTCTGTTTTATTTTCTCCACCTCCAATATCATACTTATAGTTTTTAAAACGTATCTGTCTCTCAAGTTTTATGCTAGCCTCCCCTTGATCAACCATTTCTTCATTTGTATTTGACACTTTTATTCTCCCACCACTTTAGCTAATTTGATTTTAAGGTGTTGACAACCAATAATATAAATCATACATGGCATATACAAATTCCTTAACAAGATTTGTCATATTTTGATCATCTAAATCATCATATAATTCTTTGATGAAAATTCAACAAATACAAGTTTATATCCGGTATCAAATATTATCATAATATAAATTAACTCATACATTTTCTTAATATCCCTCTAATACTTCTCAAAATTTTTTTTCATTTTACTAGCCAATGAAAAATCATTAAAATCTCCACTTTGATGTCATTTTCTCAAAACATGTTTAATCGAACAAATCTCTTCAAAATAAGAATTAGAAGTCACATACGAAAAGCCCGAAATAAGCAAAGTAAGGTCATAAAAAATTTTCAACATGCCCACCATCTTCCTACAAGCATTCAAATCATCAAAATTAGACGACCCAACAACATTATCATCATGAACTATATCAAATTCACTCCTATGTAAAAGAACAATTTGCTTATATCCCTTAAAAGCTCTCTTAAACTTTTAAGCCGAATCTAACATCAAATAGGTTGAATTCTACCTAGTTACGATATCTAATTGTAACAAACTCTTAGAATCAATCTTTTCAAATTCAATGCATTCTTTAAATCTTTTTAACCTAGCTAGAGATTGTCTCATATATCTAATGGTCGATTGAACAAGAATGATCAAAGAATTAAGATGTTTTAACCTATCAACAACAATCGGATTCAAAATATGTTCCATACATCTCATATGAAGGAATTCCTCATCTAAGATGTTATGGATTTAATTTTTAATAACATCTTTTAAGTGTCTAATTATTACCTCATTTGAACTTGTAATGTCAATTGTAACGAGTAATTTTTTTTTTTAATTTCCTAGTCGATCAAGCATTTCTTAATGGCAATGCCTAAATTTACTCCCTTAAGATTATCAACCAAACAAAAATTCAAGATATTTTTATGAAACTTTCAATCATTATTAATGAAATGAGCCGTTAAACATATGTAATTGATTCTTTGAGTAGATGTCCATATGTCCGTAGTGAGATAAACTCTTTCATAATTTTGTTTCAAGAATTCCTTTAACAATGATTTCTCATCTAAACAAAGTCGATAGCAATCTCTTAAAATCATAAACTATGATGAGATTTTAAATTTAGATTGTGTAATAGATATAAACTTTTTGAATCCCTTACGATCCACATACTTAAATGAAAGGTTATCTATAATGATCATATGAGCTAAAACATTTCTAAAAATTATTTGATCAAACTTCTACGTATTAAGAGTGCTTTCTCCTCTTACTAGACTTGTAAGTTTTAACTAAGTTTGCGTTATGTTAATACTACAAGGGTGTTTTTTGTATACGATTATATGAGATTTAAATATAGTAATGTAATTTTTTATAAGAGGACAAATAAATGCCTTATCATAATAGTTTAAGATGTTCTTATTCTTATCTTCAAACTTTGTGAAATGGTCCCACGCTATCGACCTTGTCTTAATTGGTTTCCTCTTTATCCTTATGCCATTTTACGTGTTACTTAAAGCTATACTTAATTGTGGATTGCTTGAACCCATATTTTTAAAATTCATCTCTTTAGATTGCGATATATATACACTTAATTATGGATTGCTTGACCATATTTTTAAAATTCATCTATTTAGATTGTGATATCTATACACTTAATTGTGGATTGCTTGAACCCATATTTTTAAAATTCATCTCTTCGGATTACAATATATATATATATATATAAGTGTTATACTCAAAAGGCCATAAAATTAACTATTGACAATGATGCATCAAACGAATAGCATATAAATTACAATAACTATCAACATTATGCCTTTTATATATTGAGACTTGAGTTTCCAGTCTAGGCTACAATTGTCAAACTTAGAATGTTATGGTGTTACCCCAAACCAAATCATTACTTTCTACTAATTGTCTCACTTAAAGTCAAAACAACTTAAAAAAGTAGAACGGATGACAAAGCAAAACAATTCTAGAACTAGAGTTAAAACAACTTATGAAAATAGTCCGACTAGGAGGCATTCTAATGGAAAAAGACCAATAGTTACAAAAATAAGAAAAATCTTGAATATTGTATAAAGTTTAGATAGGTGATTCATCACATCTAATCTACAACATCACATACTTTCAAACTAATATACAAAAGATAAAATTATTTACTAGGTTTTGAAGTTCCAAGAAGTCTATGTAATATGCACATTGGAGCATGAAAATTGGTATAAATCACCATGAACAAGAATGTATAAAGGTATTAAGCAAGCAATCAATCTCACAATAAGCTAATGAGTCGTTCGTGTCAATATTTCATAAAACTTGTATAATGTGAAATCCCTAAGCCATATGGTCCTTGTCGGTTTCAAACAATATACGTCGATTGTTCTACCGTGTATTGGATGTGTTTTAGCTAATGATAAGATTTCGACCCTTTTCATTCTTCCTTACTAAATCGAAAAGATGCTAAATGTTCTAGTTCCTAGTAAATTTTTTAATGAACTTTCTACAAGAGGAATATGTGCCACATCTTTCCTTGATCATGATTTTTTTTCAAAAGTATCAACGTAAATATGTAATTCTTTCCTTAAGCATCACTTCATCACAAACCGATGGCTACCCCTCACTCTACTTCAATTACATTTCTCTAAAATGTTTTCGGTATCGACAGAGGTGTATTTATCAAACTAGACATATTTCAATAAGTTCATTGTATGCATAAAAAAGAAGGCTTGCATATCTTCTTTCGAGGCACAATAGTCTAAGAATAACTCTACACATTCCGTTTGCTTAGGAACCGATTCCATAGCAAGTGGGTGAAACAAATTGACCTTGTCTTAGGAAGAGATCAAACGAGTAAGTGAAAGTCATGTTAAGAAAGTAAGTTCAACTCGCGAATGATCAGCAACTCGCTAAGTGAAGTAGGATAAGAAGCATGGTGGATGGTGAGTCTAGTGATTGTTGAGCGATGAGGATGAAAACAGGAGGAAAAGATGAAGAGTAGGAGGAGGAAGAGGATAAATAGAGGTTGGTGGGAGAGGTAGGTAGGGTTTGTAGGTCCGTAAGCTATTTGGTGAGTTTAGTAAGGATTAAAAATCAAAACACTCAAGCAACATGCATTAAGTAGAGATAAAGATTGGGAGGATGAAGAGGACAAACAAAGGTTAGTGGGAGAGGTGGATTAAGTCTACGGATCGTGAGGTCGAGGGCTAATTATGAAATTGTGAATTATGATTTGGGAAATATGAATTAGGGTTAGAGATGCAATCCATCGATCTAAGAGAAATGGAGTAAGTAAGTGACACTATGACTCTATGATAGTAGGGTTTTTCTTTATAATTCTAGGTTTTTATTTAAACTGGCAAAAAAAAATTAAAATTGAATCAAACAAAAATAATATCAATTTTTACAAGAGGCGAGAGATGAAGGGTGGGAGGAGGAGGAGGAGGATGATAGACGGAGCTTGGTGGGAGAGATGGGTGGTGTTTATGGGGCCGTAAGCTATTTGGTGAGTCTAGTAAGGATTGAGAACAAAAACACTCAAGTAGGAGGCACTAGGTAGAGATAAAGAGTGGGAGGATGAGGAGGACGAACAAAGGTTGGTGGGAGAGGTAGGTGAAGTCTACGAACTATGAGGCCGAGGGTAAATTATGAAATATGAAATTATGAATTGTGATTTAGGAAATATGAATTAGGGTTAGAGATACGATCGACTAGTCTAAGAGAAAGGGAGTAAGTAAGCGACACCATGAGTCCATGACAAGTAGGGTTTTTCTTTATAATTTTAGTTTTTCATTTAAACTCGTTAAAAAAAAATTTAAAATCAAATTGAACCAAAATAATTGTAATTTTTACAGGAGGCAAAGATGAAGAGTATGAGGAAGAAGAGGAGAAGGACAAACAAAGGTTGGTGGGAGAAGTGGGTAGGGTTTGCGAGGTCGTGGACTATTTGGTGAGTCTATTGAGGATTGAGAATGGAAACACTTAAGTAAGAGGCACTAAGTAGAGATGAAGAGTGGGAGGATGAGGAAGACAAATAAAGGTTTGTGGGAGAGGTGGGTGAAGTTTGCGGACGAGTAGGGTTGAGAGCTAATTGTGATTTAGGAAATATGAATTAGGGTTAGAGATGTAATTGGCTAGTCTAATAGAAAGAGAGTAAGTAAGTGACACTATGAGTATGTGATAATAGGGTTTTTTTTTATAATTCTAGTTTTTGGTTTAAACTCGGCAAAAAAAATTAAAATCAAATCAAACAAAAATAATTTTTGTTTTTGCCACTTTATTTAACGATGGAATTACTTCAATTGCCGTATGGTTGTCGCTAGTTCATCGTCTGTTATGTCACTAAATATTATATTAGTAGCTAATTTTCTAATATTTAGTAGTTATTTAGTGACTAAATAAAATATGTCACTAAATTCCATCGTTAATTACCTATTTTCTTATAGTGAGAGGTTGGTGAAAGAGGTAGGTGGGGTTTATGGGACTATAGGCTATTTGGTAAGTCTAGTGAGGATTAAGAATGGAAACATTCAAGTATGAGGCATTAGGTAGAGATGAAGAGCGAGGAGGATGAGGAGGATGAACAAAGATTGGTGGGAAAGGTAGGTAAAGTCTTCGAACTAAGGGCCGAGGCCTAATTATGAAATGTGAAATTATGAATTATGATTTGAGAAATATGAATTAGGATTAGGATACGATCAGCTAGTCTAAGAGAAAGGGAGTAAGTAAGTGACATTGTGAGTCTATGATAATAGGGTAATTTTTGTTTTTACTTTAAACTGGCAAAAAAATAAATAAATAAATCGAACCGAACTAAAATAATTTTGATTTTTTTATTTGATTTTCTTTTTCTATATTTTAAGTTCAAAACCAAACCCAAATAAAATTTTCTTTTGGTTCACTTCGATTTTTCAATTAAAATTGAATTATGCTCACCCCTAGCTCTTAGCATCTATGTGTTCAAATTAGCTAAGAAAGTTGGTTAATAGTGGTGGCAAGTAGCAAAATGGTTGGAAGAGGAGATTTTAAAACAAGAGGGGGACACATTGTCCACTTTATTTTTTTCTTTTAATTATTAGAAAGCCAACCGCACTGAGCTAGAAGAGTAAGTTACAAACTAGTCCTTTTCATTTTAAGAAACGAACTATGATGAGTGCATAACTAGCATGATTTTTATGCTCTATTGCATTGAACTTTCTAGTATTTATTGTATTATATTAGAATAATTAAGATCAAGATAACAGTTTTGGATTTTGTAGGAAAAATGATGAATCGCAGTAAGAAAACCTAAAATCAAAATAAGCAAGAGAGAAGTCACCAAAGAGGCTTAGAAAATTCATACGACCATATGTGATACAAGAAGAAATAGCTACTAGCCGTGTGAAACAAAGAAAAAAACCATGTGGATGTCCAACATAATTAACTTAGACGTTTCGAATTTCTTGTAAGTTTTCTAAAGCCTCGCATTTGGATTTGGAAGAAGTTATCTTTAAATACTTTGTAGAGGACATCTCGGTCTTTACAAAATGATATAGTGGGTCAAAATCCAAGTTTGTTTGGCCTCCAAATGATATTTCATATTCTAGTCTAGAAAATTGATCCGAGTCCCATTTAGAATCCAGTGTCGATTGTGGACTTTAATCCATATCCAGAGTTTTAGAACTCCAATTAATGCAAGGCTAAGCCCATAGAATACTTAAGAGGCATACCTATAAGTCTTATGAGGTCTTGAGTCCAAACTAGGTCATTATAATATAGTAATTAAGCTACAAAGTTGAATCCTAAGGCTAGGTGGACAAGTTGAGTTAGTGTTAATATTTTGATCATAAATAAAGCTTTATATATTTAATTGATTCCATCCTTAGTGAGTTGGAAGGATAAGAAATAGGGATATAACTTTCATGAAGAACACAAACCCTAATTCAGCTTGTATCAAATTCATTCAAGTCGATTATTCAGTGGATATGGGATGAAGTGCAAATTCCACACCGGTCGAAGCTTGGGACATATGATGAAGGAAAAAAATCACGCGGGCAGTAGCTAGGGACATAGGATGAAGTAAAAAAAAAAGACATGAGATGAAGTGTGAATGGCACACCACCGTGTCTTTTAGTCAAACAAGTTGTGTGTCACTACAAACAAGCCACGTGGGGTCGCTATATAGGTGTTGTAACCCTATCTTTTACAATGAATAAAGAAGTTAGGATTTCACTTTAGGCATTCTCTCATTGTAGGAGATTCCAACTCATGATAGCTACCATTGATAGAAAACTCTCTCTTTGTAACCTATTATGAGCAACTAAACTCTATTCTTGGTTAAATCAAATTGAAGCTTTTGGTTAAATTACTCGTGAGATTATGGATTTTATTTTTAAACTTATTCGTTTGGATATTTTATGTTTTTCTATATGATTGGTTTATAATTTTATGATTAAATTGATTAAAGTACACGCTAGTTGTTTAATCATATTAACTTATTGCTAGTTAAGTATTCAAGTTTATGTAATTGTTTATCTCAAGTTGCCTATGGTAGTAACTAGGGATTGATGATTATTTTTCATGTTTTCGTTCAATCCCTTGAAAAATATAGAACTAGGTTATATCTTCTCTAGCGCTTAGAAAGGTGGCTTAGATTCACCTATCTTTTTCTAATTAATGTTGCTATTGGATTAAATCTATATAGCGCTTAGTAGGTTGTTCAATAGCTAGAGAATTAATTAAGTATCGTATATTCGGTTAATGACTAAGTAAAGAAAGACTTAGGAAAACATACATGTTATCGTCTTATGATGAATATTCTTCTTTAGGATAAGTTAATTATTTAATAGATGATCGGTAACCAAATCGAAAATGGATATTGAAATTCAACCAAAGTTTTTTTTAATATTGTAATTTCTTATTACTTTAATTGCTCACATACACTTCAAATGCAAACCTCTTTTTATACTATAAGAACACTTAATCAAAAGAAACGATCAATTAAGCCTCATTCCCTATGAATTCAACCTTTACTTACCCTTATTACATTATCATGATTGAAAGTCGTGTAAGAACAAAATACAAATTACTAATTTATTGGTGATCCGACATGCCATCAAATTTTAACACCGTTACTAGAGAATTGTGGCTGAAATTAATTATTTTTTGTATTTTAAATATTTTTATATTTCTATTATGGTTGGTATATGACCGAGTCTCAATCGTGAGTGCTGATTTTCAACCCCAAATTCAAGAGAGAATTGAGCAAATTAAGAAGAGAAGCTAGGCTAGCTTTGATAAAAAGAATTAAATCATTCGAGAGAATGGTTCACTAGGCATAGCCATTGTTCTTGAGTTTTTATCTTCAAGTGACTAGAAAGGAGAAAACATGGCTAAAAATAGGTGAATTAGACTCTAAAAAGTTGATCTGCTCCCGACCTTAATCGGCAGCCTTTGTGTATCAAGTTCCCTAATCTTGATGTGCATTTAAACTTAAATCGGGACTAACACACTTGCTCGTATAAATTTTAGGGTCTAGATAGAGAAGATCTCTATAAACATCTAAAAGAGTTCCATGTATTCTCGCTCAACCATGAGACCAAAAGAAGTGTTGGAGGAGCAAATTAAATTAAGGACATTTCTTTTTTTGTTGGATGAGGATACTAAAGATTGACTCTATGATTTTCCTTTAAGATCGGTTGATTCATAGAACCGAATGAAGCAAGCATTCTTGATGAAATATTTTCTTGCTTTAATAGCTATAAGTATACAAAAAAAATCTATGGGATTAGATAGTTCACTAGAGAGACATTGTATGAGTATTGAGAGCGATTCAAAAAGTTATGTTTCAATTGCCCACACCATCGGATTTTAAATCAATTACCGATTATGTACTTTATGAGGGTGTGCTCCCTATGAAGATGTGCATGATAGATGCTGCTAGTGGATGAGCATTAGTGGATAAAACACTTGATGCTATAAGAGCTTTAATATCAAACATGATCTGTAAATTTATAGTAGTTTGGTGTGAGGGTTGATCACATACCAAAAAGAGTAAATAAAGTCAACATCTATAGTTTAGAGCAAGTAAATGTTTAACTTGACTTAACTCGGTAAGACAAATGATTATTGGTAATCTACAAGATGTTAAGGCTTATAAGATTTGTTTGATTATTGGACATTCCATCGATGCATACCCAATATGCAAAGAGGGATACATTAAATATGTCAATACTCGTCGGTAACTTTAGAGATGGTCAATCATAACCTATAACCCTTTTTTTAACACCTACAATTTTAGTTGGAGAGACCACCCCAACTTGAGATATGAGAAAAATCGGTAAGGTGGGCAAAATTTTTACCAAGAAAGGCAACAAGGGTTTTAACCCAAGCCTTTTCAACAACATGCCCTACAACATTCGGATAATTCACCGAAAAAAATGGTAAAGTCTCTTGCTTTAAGTACTAAACAATTTCAGCAAGAGACTAGGTCGATCATTCAAAATCTTGAAACTAGATGTGTCAAATGATGATTGTTATGAGTTGTCTAGAGCCTCAAGCTAGAGGGAAATTATCATCCCAAATGGTGGTGAATCTAAAGAAAAATGTTAGTGCCATGACATGACTTTGAGAAACGGTGCTCGGTAGAGCAATCGTGCAAGAAAGTGTCTAAGGTAGTCGAAGAAGGAATAGTGTAGTTTGAAGAAGAGAAGGAGAGCACACCTATTAACGGGGTTACACCAAGTCCTAAAATAAATTCTAACCCTTTTAGTCCATTTGTAACTAATCATACACCATTTCCTAATAGGTTAAAGAGGCTTAGGAAAGAGAAAATGAAGAAAAATAAGGAAAAAAAGATACTAAAGTTATTTAGTAAGATTGAGGTAGACATACCTCTCTTGGAGGCCATCAAACATGTGTCTCGGTATGCCAAGTTCTTGAAGGACATATACACAAATAAGAGAAAGCTAAACATGAACGAAAAGTTAATAATTGGAGAGAATGTTTCTGCTATATTATAAAGGAAAATTCCTCCTAAGTGTATGGATTTAGGTATGTTTACGATACCTTCCAAATTGATAACAATAGAATAGATAAAGCTATGTTAGATTTAGGGGCATCAATTAATATAATGCCGCACTCGTATGTGTTATACTAAATCTAAAGCCTTTAAAAGATATAAATGTTATCATTCAATTAGTTGATTGCACTAATGCCTATCTTGAAGGGGTAGTGGAAGATGCTCTTATGTGAGTGAAAAAGTTTATGTTTTCAGCCAAATTTTATGTCTTGAAGATGAGAGATGAATCTCATTATAACCCCATACCTCTTTTATCGGGGAGATGATTCCTCAAAACGACAAGGATGATAAATGTCTATAAGGGACCTCTCACCATGGAATTTGATGGTGAGGTAATTCATTTCAATATCCTCGATGAGGCTAATGCCAATGTACAAGGAAGCTCAAGTTCAAACTTGAAGATGAAAAACCCCTTCGATGGGAAAAGTAACGTCAAGCCAATGAAATTAAACAAAAACATTTATTAGGAGGTAACCTAATGATTTTTATGAATTTTATGTTTTAATTTTTGATTTAGCTATTTAATTTTGTTTTAGATTTCACCCGTACTCGACTTGATCGTAAAGATATTGCGACGAT